GAGCACTCGCGGCCGGCGGGCCTTGCCCCGCCGACCGCGAGCGTGTTGCGGGAAGTGTGGAGCTTCTGAGCTTCGGGCCAGTGAGAGTCTTGAACATGCGGTACAGTGATGGACCGGGGAGTCAGCGGAGCCACAGTCAACACGTCCCGTGGACGAAGGTTGGGGGGTGCGGGACGTGGAACAGGTGCATGCCAACGACTCAAGTCAGAGACTTAAGTAGCCGAGGGAACGAGACGCCGCACAGCCAGCCTACGCTGTACCAATACAGAAACGAGCCTATTCTGAACAAAGTGTTGTGGGAGATCAGGACAAACACGCGGGCACGCCCCTCGTTTCCACCGGCGCCCACAAGTCGATCATTTCCCGTGCCGTATTTCCAAGTTTCAGTGCGCAGCCCATCCAGACGACGTCTTGTAGGGTTAACCTGCTACACATTCGACAGCTGACAGCATGCAGAGAGGTTTTTATGTCATCCAACCGAGGATGCTGGCGACGAAATGCGCGCGCTAAGCTAAGGCGTAAAGCAGTGCCACAGGAACCTGGGAGACACAGAGATATACTAGTCCACATGGAGATAAACACGCGCGGCGGCACTCAGTGTCAGTCGTGCTGATGAATTATAAGAACTAGCAGAAGCAGGTATGTACGTGAGCTGGAGTGCGATTCATAATGATAGGACTTCGGTAGGGTACTATGAGAGGCCATGCGGATGCGAGAGTTATGCGACGATGTAAGTAGAGCAAGAGCATATGGTGCGTAGTGTTACAGCGTGATTTGAGACAAGCAAGATAGCAGATTGTGGATGCAATGATGGAATAGTGATACGTATATGAACTTAGAGAAGGAAAACGTCGTCCATGTCCTGTAATTCTTATGTCAGCCAATGAAGCACTACCCGAGATGGCTGCATCACGTACCAATTTCGCCAGGCTGCTGAGCTCTGGCGTCTGGAAGTTCAAGAACTCGCCGTCCGGTGGCTCCTTCCCTTCGCTTCGTGCTCGTCGTCTTTGCTCCAGCGTCCATTCATGAAGTTTGACGGAGTTCTTGTAGATCTTGTGGCTACGAACGACGTCAGCTTCTAGATTACGACGTACCAAACAAAATATTGCTCTACCTGAGATGCGACATAAGGTCGTGGTGAGTGACCTCCTTGTGATGTCTGGCGCGGTGTCGGAGGTACTCGCAGAAGAGCTTGATACGCTATCAGGAGATCTGCCGGCGACAGGAAGGGAAGGAACACTCACCGGGATCAACGAGCGGCCCTTCCAGTCCTCCCAAGCCTGCTGCATGTCCGTACACGCCGATAAGGACTTCACATTGGCAACCTGGTGCTTCCACCTGTCGTCGTACGGGCAGAAGCCATAACAGGGAAGCGTCGCATCCGGAGACTCGCACATGGGCGAGGAGACGAAGGCATCACCGATGATGGAGTTTGGGTGCGGGATGCTGGTGAGCGGCGAACGCCCGGTTGATCCGCGCATCCTTGACGCGGGCGCGAGTGATACAGGCCGTACGCGAGTGTTGAGCGTGAGCTTGCGCAAGTCGCTTGACGATGTCGCTGTTACGCTCGCTACGGCATGAACGTCCTGTTGTTCCACGACTTGTGCAATCGACTGCATCTGAGCGTTGCTGCTGAGACCTCCAGACAAAGTCGGCCCAATTGCAAGAGCTCGATCTGCAAGGCTGTCAGCAACGGGAGCGTTGACCTACGTGACATGACGTACTCTGCTTCATGCGGAGTGTACCTGTTCTTCGCTTCCCCTTCGAAAGCCATGGTACGTAGATGGCGTTGCAGTTATGGTGGGGAAGGTCGAGCATTGTGCCAGAGTGACAGGTATCGAATAGAGCCTATCGTATGCATAGTGAGACCCAGTAGCTCCACAACGCACGTGAGGAAATTGCTCACAAATAGGTTGGCACCAGGAGGTAAAGGGCGCACGAGTGTCTTGTACAGCTTCTGTGGAGGGGTCTCTAGGTAAACGTCGAAGTTACGGCGGGTGAACGACAACGACGTACATTATCCCGGATTTCTTTGCCGTCAATTGTCAACATGATCTCGTCCTTGCCGTCCTCCTCGGGGAACAGGTTGTCCTCCAACTTTTGTTCCCGTTGGTCCGAATGACCGGAGACTGAGACAGACGTGTAAGTCACGAGTAAAGTTGAACCGAAGCGGCTACGCACATGTAAAGACAAAGCGATCTCCAGGCTGCGCATCCTTCACCAGGGCCTTCAACTCGCGCTTCTACAGCTCATCGTCAGCCTGGATTCATCATGCACCCATAAAACACGGCATACGATGTTGTCCTTCGTTGGCTGAAGATGAGGCTCGACGTCTGCTCGGTCCATCATGACGACAATGTCCTTCGTGCGGTAGCCATACAGGTCTGCAGATCATGCATGAGAACGCGTATTCAGGAGCGGATTGACACGCACCGATCAAAAGCGAACGCATCGCCGTCACGTCCTTGTGTGGGCCCTGCAGTTCGCCCAGATCTTCCTGTGGCCCGCATTCACCGTAGCAGATACCGATCAGCAGCGCGCGGCGCTTCGGTTCTTGTTTCGGTTGAGCGGGCAACGGGCGCTTGGGCTCTACGCTCGCGACGCCGCGCTCAGCTTGGTTCTCTGCGTCCGAATTGGGTCGGAGAAGCGGCTCGCGCTCGGGCGCACCATCGCCGTCCATGCACGACGAGCACACGCACGTCATCAACAACTTCCAGAGCCTAGTCAAGAGATTACCCATCGCATGGGAGTGCTTCCCGCACGAGGTACGGGCAGGGTGAAATAATGGAGGTGGGGTGGTGGACGTTACGAGAGGGAACACGCTTGCTGGTCCGAGAGCGGGTCTGCTATATCAACACCGCTCCTCTATGGCTTACGGAGGATGTGACAGAAAGATGGCTCGAACAAAGCGGCGCCATGGCAGGTCGTGGCCGCCCAGGCCATCAATCATCGGCGCTGCCATTCCGCTTCATGCAGGGGCTCGGTGCCTTTCGTTTCGCTAGCCCAGTTTTAGCAGGCTTCTCGAGCTCTTGCACCGGTCCAAGTGAAGCCCCGCTAAATATGTACGATAAGTACGTTGTAGTCGTGTATCCAGCTCTGAGCTATTCACAGCCTTTTCGTGGATTGACGCCGTCTTCAGACGGTCGTGCTCTGGGAAAAGCCGGTTCTGCCGGATATAATCGAGATGAACGGCCTGATTGTAAAGCGAACCTAAACCCGACCTGGCTTGACCTGGACAGATCCCGCGAGGCTACGTCCGGCAGCAAGACATCCGGGCCTCCACGCTGTCGAAGGGAAGGCTTGTAGATGAACACACGCTGGCTGCAGGCTGCAGAACCCTACAGCTGAGGAAGCTTCCAAACGACCAAGGATTTCGCCTGCCCACAGCATAGCGGACAAAGGCGCGGCGAACTTGACAGGGCGCCATCATCAAGGCGGATCACTCTGGCGAGGACCACCCGATGTGTGAGCCTTGAAGCTTGAGGCGGTGTATGTAGTGTAAGGGTGTGGGCGCTCGCCGTTGTGTCGCCGCAGCGGAGGGCGTAGATCCCGCTGCTAACGACAGCCAAACCTGCAGTCTCGAGCGCCTTACGTCTATGGCAACGAGAGAGCTCTGGAGGCTGTGCAACGGGCACGACAATGCACCCGCAATAGCAATGAGGCTGTGAGCGATACGTCTCGAGCTCGCCAGCATCGAAGCACAGCATGACCTCCGCTGCAGAGCGTTGTTTGGTCATGGGCCGTGTTCAGAATCCAAGGCCACAAGAGACCGCGGGGGTTTTTGACGGTCTCGCGGTACGACAGAGAAGGGCGGTACTGTATTATGCTCTTCCGAGTACATGTATCAAGCAATCTCAGCCCATCGCCTGATGGTCTTCTCGGGATCGTCCCAGTGTGCCTGCGTACAAGTCAGCGAGGCATCACAGTGGCAAGCGATCAAAGGAGCATGCGTACGAAATGGTTACACCCCTCAAGCATATGGAACTCCATCTGACGCACAGGTCGCTTCTCCAGAAGGCTCGCCTTGTATGTATCTTCTGTCTCCCACATAGCGCTGATCATGTCCCACAGGCTCTTCTCGCACTGTAGCATCTTGACCGGCACCTTCGGCCATAGGTCTAGACTGACGACATGCTCAGGGTCGTATTCGAACAGTGCGCGATTCCGGTTCCGCAAAAGCACACTCGGTGGTAGGGCGCGTATGTGCCTCTCACTGTGGACGAGCGCATCGTAAGACGATGTGGCAGCATCCTCTTCTGGGGACATGCGGTCGGTTGTGGAGGTCGATTCGGAAGGAGGGACCTCTGTTAAACCCGACAGGGATCTCGAGGCGACATCGGGATGATCATAGTAGGCAGATACCCAGTGCTAAGATGATCGTGAGCCTCCGCCGCCGCCTGGAAATCGAAGACTTAGACTCTGGCATACCTTGAAGCGTGCAAACTTCTCTTCTTTGCTCAACGTGGGATCCATTAACGGATGGGCAAGCGTAAAGTATTCGGAGTCGGGATAGCCAAGGGCCCAGCGCGGACCATCTAAGAAAGGGATGAGGCGCGGAAGATGAAGCATCTCGACCGCAGATAGCGCACCGAAGTGAATATACGACCTCATATAGGGCTCAAGCGTGCCTCGTAGATCGTCAGGGAGCCGCGAGAGATTGGCCATGAGCGACATGACTATGATGTTGGACGAGCTCCACGCAACGATACTGAGCCCGCCTTCGCGTACGCCAGAGTCGGACGTGCTAATGCTCGGCACTTTGCCTTCGCGGACAAACCATACCAAGAACCTCGCAAGCTCGAGCGCCCTCTCCCATAAAAATAACTCGCTATCTTCCTGTGGGGACCCGGGTGTACTGAGTGCTATGTCATCGTCGCTGAAAGGGGTCGACCCGGGGTAGTCTCGCCGGTTGATGAGGACGAGGCGCAGACCAGCTGGAGATGCCAAAGGTACGAGTCTCTGGAATATCGCTGATCACTCCGCAGTGTGAAAAATACGGAGGGATCCAGAAGATAGAAGAGCTCACCTCCATGAAATCCTGTCCCATGCAATACCACAAGGGTGGTATATATGGCGGTCCTGGATGGTACACCGGAGTCCTCGTAGTAAAGCTGCACATGAGGAGCGTTGTCTTCACTGACAGGTGCGGTTGGCATTGTGTCCTGTCGCGCGGTCGTATTCAAGGAGCGCAGTCTGCACCCGTTTTTCGCTCGTGAGCGTTGGGTTCGTTATAAGTACGTGCGCCAGGGCCGGGAAGTTTTGACTGTCCTGAGATCCAAACTGTACACTGAGTCACGAGTATCTCCGCCAGGCAAAGAGCCAATCTGATTCGAACTCGTGCATTGTACGCATCCCCGGACTGTGAACCAAAAGGAGCATGCAAGCTAGGTGGTTGTAACGGTTAGTGAATACGAGAAGACAGCTGCACCCATTGCATGTGGTGCTTAGAGTGCGCGAAGCATCTGAGTGGGTCAGCGGTCTGCCTGCTCCTGCGAGCGAAAGCCACTACAGAGTAGCAGCGATGAGAGCATTTGAGAGGATCACTAACTCGGGTGCACTCATTGATAGCGAATCACGCGTATTGAAGGGCTTAGTCGCGACACCCGGTGAAAATGATAGAGTGACCGTTCAACGTTCAAGACGGAGGGCCTCGCGTTCATTGACCCGTTTCTGTATTCGAGCGATGAAATTGCACGGGTTATGTGGGCGAACCACCAAACGTGCGTCGATGGCCATCATGTCCCAAAGGTCTTGATAAACTCCGACGAGCCGATCGAACCAGCTCTGCGAAAGAGGTACACCTTATGACTGGTGTAGGGCGGGCGAGTCCTGAAAGCGGATTAGCCTGGCGCTACGGACTTGATTCCACGCGCAGGCCAAGTGGGAAGGCCTTCCGTCTTGCGTTCCTTGATGAGAATGGCGGAAGCAAGTCACGAGTTCAATCTCCAGAGCAAACAGGACAGCGTATTCATGGGATATGTAAACTCTTCGAGCTTGAAGGCCAATGTGATGGAAAAGGAGGAAGGACGCGCCGAACGCACTACAGCAGAGCAGTGATACCGGAGAATGCCGGACAATTCTCTCACGAAGTGACGTCAAATAAACGAGCAAGTTCCCAGGTTTGCTTAAGGCCCTCACCTACGTTTCTTGTTGTCCCCATTCTCTGGGTCTTACGACTGTCTACCGGACTCGGTGCTCACGAATACCATCCTCCATTCGTCTGTATCCGATCTTGGACAATCTGTCTCAGCTATGACTGAATATGCGCACATGAACGAGATTGTACCCGGACTCTGGGTTGGCGATCTCCTGTCGACGAAGGACCTCCAAGCTTTGAGGGATAATAATATACACAGTATACTTACTGCGATGCGCGGAAGGATTGCCATCAACGAAGTACGTATCTCGTACTCATTGCCGTATACATAAGGCACCTGAGACTCATTGAAACTCAGACCTTCTTGCGACAACAAATATTGCTGGACGATACGGAGGATGCGGATGTTTTGCAGCATCTGATACCCGCCATCTCATTCATCAATGCCGAGCTCGAGAAGGGACGCGGTGTGCTCGTACACTGTCAGGCAGGCATGAGTACGCGCTTCGTGTCTGAACCGCTGGATGTCTTCCCAATTTTCAGTGTGTTGCAGGCCGTAGTGCGACGATTGCAGCCGCGTACCTCATGTACACGCGCAACATCGATGTAGCATCCGCAATCGAGATCCTGCAAAAGGCTCGCCCTCAGGCACAACCGAACCCGGGCTTCATCACACAGCTGGAGATCTTCCACCAGGCCAACTTCAGGGTGTCGAAGCGCGACAAGGCCACTCGGATGTTCTATCTTGAGCGTGCGGTTGAGGAGGTTCTGAGTGAGCGTACTAATTCTCAAATGATGTAATCGACTTCTCACCGCCCAACAGATGGCGATGGGAGCGTCGAGACAGATATGTTTGCCAAGTTTCCTCGCACACCCTCCGGCTCCGTTCCCAACACACCTGGTGGCGCCGGCCCTCGCCGTCGTATCCGCTGTAAGATGTGCAGGTCGGTCATGTGTGATTCATTCCCAACGTGGTCTCTAACTTGCCTACGTCCTAGAACAGAACTCGCTTCGCGCGAACACATGATGGATCACGGACAGCTTGGACCACCCACACCTGCGTATGCACTTTCTCCAGCGGCGTCTCGTCGTCCGTCGTCACATCTCCCCGTGCGTCCGCGCACAAGCTCATCTGGTCGTCGCCCCTCAATCGAAGGTGGTGTTTTCGCCGGCCTTGCCGCGTCCTTGTCGATGTCCACACTTGAGACCGACGATGAAGGTGCGGACAAGGGTGAGAAGACAGACAACGCGGACAAACCGCGACGATCCTCGAGCACGCGTCAACGTCGGCCCTCGAACCCTAGCATGTCGGCGCTCTCGGCGCTGTCAATGACGAGCATGGCGACGTCTGCAGTCGATTCAGACGATGACGAGGATGATGTTGAACCACCGCCCGCGAAACCGCGTTCCCTCTCGCGCCGATCTTCGCAACCGCGCTCGAGACGTCAGTCGGAAACCGGCTCCGGTCTGCGCAGACCGTCGATTCCTGGCGTGACCGCGTTGTCGAGCTTAACGATGACAATGAAGACCCCCACGAATGGCGAGGCGCCTCCAGACGGGCAGGCATCGCGCAAGGATACTCCAACTACAGGAGACTCCGACGCTCCTGCCGCTCCCGCACCCGTACCCGCTCCGCCGGGTGGTCTGCAGAGTCCCGCAGACCTCGCTGCGCAGCTTTACGCAAATCCGAAGCTCGCTGCGCTGCGTGCACCCGGAGGAATGTCTATGACGCCACTACAAACGTCGTCCGGCCAGCGCTCAGACCCGCGCAGCCCGCCGATTCTCGCAAATCCGAAGTGTTCTGGATACTTCGTCGAGCCCATGGAATGGATGCAGTTCTTCCTGCAAGATGGACAACTTGCGGGGAAGATTACGTGCCCGAATAAGAAGTGTGGGGCAAAGCTTGGCAATTACGACTGGGCGGGCGTCTGTTGTAGCTGCAAGGAGTGGGTCGTCCCGGTACGCCCTGTTCATTCCTCATGTCGATCTCGTTCTTAACAATGGCTGGGTAGGGCTTTTGTATTCATCGGTCCAAGGTGGACGAAATTGTTGTCTAAAGCGACTTCGTCTTATGTGCCAAACTAGGGAATCGTTGCTGTCTTGGGCCTGCTTGCACAATACACGTCTATATCCGCATACCGTCGCACGCTTCTACTTCGTACACACTATACACGCTTCTCAGACAATGGACCGCCTGGATTGGGAGCCCAGCCGCACCAAGATTCGGAGTCTCAGTCCAACTTTATTTTTCTGAAGCACATCATGCCTATGCAGTGTTGGCGCGTTTCTAGATGTTGTTGGTAAATGACATTGTATGTCGTAGCCGGAGGGTGGTATCCGATTATAGGTATGCTAGTAATACATGTATGCACGGTCGGCGCGCCCCGAGGCCGAGCGCCGACGGATGAAGACCCAAAAATACACTTGTTGTGAGGAGAAGATTGTGAACGTTGTAGTGATGAACCGAGAGGAAACGTGAGGGGCATGGGGTGTGAGGATAACCAAGAGAGAGTATGTGCTCGTGTCATGACAGTGAACAGTCTAGGAGTGGAGGGAGCGTGCGAGAAGCCGTGGCATGACGGGCATTAACATTTGCGGACGACCTCCTTGAGGATAGGCGCGGCGCTCTGCAGCTTGTAAGGCTGCGCGCGGATGTGTGCGGGTAGGTTGTGAGGCGACGCCTTCCACGCGTGCAGAGCGGCTTTTACGAGCAGCAACGGTGCGCCGCTTTGGAACGCGGTGGGGTTCAACTGCGATAGATGCGCGATGATTCGTGGGGCCGAAGCCGCCTTCATGGGGCCGGCGTAGAGCAGTACCGCATCGGCGCCGTCGAAGGAATCCGCGCGCACGATGCGCACAGTTTGACCATCGACAGGCGATGGGGAGTAAGGTGGAGGCGAGGATGATGCGGCCGAGTACGGCGGCGGCGAGGGCGATCCGCTCGGTGAGGAGCGCGCCGAAGAAGTCGTAGACGACGATGAGGTCGACGCGTGACGTGAATGGTATACATGAGGAGTCTGAGGTGCGGGAGCACGGTGACTCGGCTAAGAATCCATGTCAGACTATTACTCGTTTAAGATGATACGGGCGTCAACATACCTTGGGAACGTATTCAGGGAAGATTTCGTGAAGCGAGGGCAGACTAAGCTGGCTCGGGGCTTGCGGCTGGAATGGCGGAAGAAGCACGCGGTCGTAGTTTGCAGCCATTGCGAGATGTGTTGGATACAGTGATGTGATGGAGAACGTGTGTTGGATACAGCGGAGAGGAAACGTCGACCAGCCGAGACTAGAGATGCTACAGACGCGTATTGTGCAGAGGGTCCACCTGGGTACCGAAGAGGCCTGCCTTTTATCGTGATCTGAAAAGAAAGAAGAAGAGTCGTAAGCGGAAAGAGACTGATGAGGGAGAGATGAGGGGGATAAAGGAGATGCTGAAGCGGGAACAAGCCGAAGCGTTCTTATGCAGGGAGCAAGGGTCACACGTCGTGTACAAGCAAAGTTGAGCATCGGGGCGCTATAGACCATAACCTTATTGTCCGATAGACGATACAAGCCTCGATGCCGCTCTCATGGGGTGAAGTCGTAATTGTGGCTAACATGGTTCTCCGGCGTCTGCGAGGCAAGGCGGCATAATAGCGCGGGTGGCATTGTTCGCTCAGGCACAATTTTCCCAGGGCCATGGCAGACTCCGTGCTTCATATAACCAGTACAAACGATGAGATACCGGTGGCGCTGGCAAACACGAGGTATACAGTCAAAGCAACGGGCGAACACGGCAAGGCCCAGGATTCAAAGAGTCTTTGGGATTCATGGTGGTCGGGGATCAAGTTGTGGTGGGCTGTGGCAGCGTGTGGGCGCGCGTCAAGCAGCTTTCCTCGAATTTCTCGCGCATCTTGCCTCTTGCCTTCATTCTTTGCTCCCCACAATTAGGTCGCCATGGCTGAGGGCAACCAGAAAATCAGAATAGTACGCAAGCATGGTACACATGCGTCACCTGGACAGTATCTCACGCAGTTGTGCCAGATGAAAGGAGCTGAGCCCGATATGTCTGCGGCCTCGTTTCAAATATTTGACGAGACGCACACTTTGGGGAACGCGCTCAGATGGATGCTCATGAAAAAGTGCGTCAAAGGGCATCTTCCTATGCGAAACGGAGCTGACATAATTGCTTAGCCCGCAAGTTGAGTTCTGCGGATACAGGTGAGCCCTTGTTCAAAGTCCCTCCCATTCGCCGTGTTTGTACGGCCCAAGCTGTTGTTCGTCTCCGAATGACTCCAAACAACCGCATGGCCGATTTAAGGGCTTATTATACCTCTCCGTACTTGGGTTCCAAGTCATTATACTCGGACAGGCGCGCGCTTCCATAGAAGCTTGTTTCCTAATGGGGCGCAACTTTGCTATTGTACCTGCTCTATCTTTCATCTGCATTCGACCCGCGCTTGTACATGGTCAAGAACAACAGAGCACGTTCCCGATCGAGCATCATTCCACCTTCTCCATCGGTCCGCCTCCTTGCCAATCCCGCAGTACGCTCACACACTATTCAGCGCACCGCATCCTTCGGAGAATTTGATCCAGATACGGATACAAATGTATGGTGCGTGACAATCGTATTGAACTTGTGTTTTGTGCTTGTGCTGACCAAATCTCGCAGACAAGCAATCGTCCTTGACCGCCTTACTGGATGCGTTGGATAATCTCGACAAGCTGTATGCTTCGATAGAGGACGCATACACGACCAGTTTGGAGGCCGAAAACTACGAGAAGTGGGAGGAAAAGAGCTAGAACACTATGCATCATGACAGGTGCGCGCGTAACGTCCATGTAAATGTGAGCAGAAGCTAACAGAAAAAAAGATCTTCCTCCGCCACACTACCTATTGCCCTCTCAGTACGGCATCTGTAAAAGTATGCTATCTAGTCGTATTGCTATCCATGTTGTTGTTTTGTACCGAGTTCTCTGCGAGTTATTACTCTCGTTTGTACACTAAATTTCTCCATCCTCTATTACTTGCTACAATACCATCGTTGCGGTCGCACGGGGCCAAGCGGCTCTAACATATCAGACTGGACCACGACTGTGAGCCTCACTAAATGATCGTTCGAAGAAAGTTGCGACCGGGTCCACGAGATATGACCGCTTCCACTGGAGCGTCAGGGTAAATGCGCCATTCGCGTCGATAAATCTGGCGTCAAGATTCATTCGCCTCTTGCTCCAATATCTCTCGCTCCAGCCGCTCGCGTTCAGCCTGCCGTAGACGCATCATCGTCATGCCCGCATAATCAAGCCCTCCTGCAGGCGCAGTGCCATTGAGTGGCGTAGCGATATCTGGCTGAAGTACAGATCGTAGTGTCAGCATTACGCTGCGGGCTAGGATGAGGTTAACTAGACTCACGAATGTTGAGGGAAACGAAGAGTAGGTCCCCGATACTGGCGCAGAGTGCTGCGGAAGCACACTTTCCGTGGTACTAGTCGCGGGTGCTGATCCTGGTGTTGCTTCGGACTGAGCTGTGCCCTCAGCCCCTTGAGGCCCAAGCTTGCCCATCCTCCGTAGCCAGCTTAAGATCAGCGGTTCGCCGCCATCTTTACCCATCCACGTCACTTCTATGCCGCCCATGCCCCTGCTTTCTACACCCGCAGCACAGACAGCAGCATGAGCGTCTCCGATGCGGCGAAAGGGAACCAGGGCGACAGCATGTTTGGGCGGCTTATGTGGTGCCTTCTTCGGTGGTTTCATTGTGAGGACGATGCTCCCAGAATCCATGTCTCCGAATCGCTCGCTCAAAAATCCAGCGAGTGCGATTGGGGTAGTGAGATCTGGATGGGCTGCAAGTGCATATTTGACCCGCACTGTCGTATCCAACTCGCCCAGCGGAGGTGGCTCCAGTTCCTTCCTTCTCCTCTCCTCTTCGCGTTCCCTCTCCTCCTCCTCTTCCTGAGCCTTCTTCGCGCGTTCGGCCATCATTCGACGACCTTCATCCTTCACACGCTCTTCCTCCTGCGCCTGGGCACGCTCAGCCGTCTTGGCACGTTTGAACGCTGCCTCGCGCTCTTCGAGCTCTTCGATCATACGCTTGCGCTTATTGTCGTACTGTTGAAATCGCGCCTTCTTCGCGGCGGCCGTACGCAAGCGCGCGTCAAGCGCCATGCGCCGCAGTGGGTCGAGCAGGAGCTCATACGCCTGGTTCAGCTCGTGGAATTTCGCCGCTAAAGATCAAAAGTATGAGTATTGCGTGACTCAACTAACCTATATGGATACACACCTGCATCGGGGTTACCACGATTCTAGATAGATACGAGCAACGCGTGAGGGCGTGAAGCATTGAAGCGACCGGTGGGACGCACCCTGTCAGGGTGAACTTTCAGGGAGCGCTGGCGGTAGGCAGTCTTGATCTCGCCATCTGTTGCCTCGGCAGCTACGCCGAGCAGTTCGTACGCGTTCCCTTCGTCTTCTGCTTTCGCAGACATGGTAACCAGGATACGGGTACGTTGGACAGGCCGACAGCAGATACGTGGAGTTACGAGGAGATGTCAATGAGTACAAGCGCCCCGTAGAATAGAAGCAAGAGTCAGCAGTCAAAGCACTGATATGTGAGCCTGAGATGATGGTGGTGGAAGGTGGCGAAGACGCGAAGAGTGCGGGACGCGTCCTGCCTCTCGCCATCATCATGCGACTGAGTCTCGGCTTAGATATCGCGGCGTATGCTACTACACAAGCTGGCCAACATCAAGAATGCACAACCTTCATACAGTCTTGTTGGTCGCGAAGTAGACAACTGGTGCATCTTCGGTCACAGACCAACTGTTCCGGGAAGGCGCGGAGTGGACTCCGGATACGGTATCGTCTCATCGGCGAACTCGGTCTTACTGCTCTGTGGTCTTTCCTCGGGTTCCTTCGTGGAAGCGCTCAGGTTGAATTCAATATCATGTTCACTTCGCAACAGCGTTGTAGTACACTTGATGAAATCACGACAACACTCAGCGCTCCGGCTGGCAGATTGGACGCATGGCTTTTGTGTAACGATCGCGAACCTAGTACGAATTGAGCTGATCATACACTTCCCATGCTCATCCTATCCGACATGGATGCTCCATAATAACGAACAGCGATGCTCTCAGCCAACAGCCTCCCCCTCTCCTTGCCGTTTGCGCGCGTTTGCGGTTTTTTTTCGCTCCGGACTACTAGTCCGCTGGGGATGCTTGTTGTTTCAGCGTGATGCTAGCCATATCGCTCTTCTTTGCTTTTGCGCTTCCTTCTCTTGTACACTCCTTTCATTCTCATTCCTCTCATTCTCACTCGCAAAGCACGCCGGCAAACTCGTCTACGCCTTCAGGATGGGTGCGCGATACGAAGACTTAACCCAGAACATGTGCACTGACGACCTTTCTCCAAGAATACCACAACGTCTCTGACCACATCTGAGCGTCAGACTCTAGCGCAAGATGCCGCAGAGCGGCTGCTGCCTGCGATCGATCCCTTGACGGGCAGAATAGACAGTGCGTTCTCGGCTTAATCGCCGGTGTTAACTCCCGTGCTCATTCTAAGCTGGTGTCTAGCCCTGAGCTTCAGCTCACAGGACGTCAATTTAGCTGCCGTATTGGCTCTACAAGACTATCATAGCGGAACTCATGCCTACGAAGAGATTTTGGGGAACATGTTCGCCGCCTACTTCTCAACTCACAACGACTCTTTCCTATCCTCACTTCCGTGAGTGTTTCTCTCGCAGAGGCTCAAGCGTTTACTCACCCGTCGCGTTGTCGTGTAGGGTGCGTGTAACTATGTAGCTGCGTGGCGAAGTCACTCACACGAAGCGAGAAGCATGGAAACAACGAGGACATGTACGTCTCTCATGCACGCAGTTTACACGGCGCTAAGGTCTCCTAGTCAATGGGGCTTATCAGCCTACTATGCGTATCGCGCGTACTCCAATGAGTCCTTCCATAACATAGCCAAGGACTCATGGGAACGGGTATCCGCTTATATCATAGGCGCGGAGAACACGAGGGACGTTCGCGCCGATGGCTTGTGCCCTTCCTGTACGCACAGCTTTACCGTTTTCATACCCTGTGCGCTATACTCATAGATCCCTAGCTCGTGGCCATCTCGATGAACAACCGAATATCGGTGCTGTGTTCATGGTATGTCTCCGCGTCCATGCGACACGTCGTCCACTATTGATCTAGTACAGTTTCGCGATGCAGCCAATGACACTACCGTGAATACTCAGACCATGGGGTGCGTTTCCACGCTATGTTTATGCCCCTCGCATTGATACGACCAATACCTGTAGTCCTTTCATGGCGTGAGGGTTACACCGTACACCCTGGCCGGCCTCAAAGAATTGACTCCATTTGTTTTAGCCTCGGCGCCTACCTCTACGAGAGCAATACCAGCGACACCCGCTACTTGGCGCTCGCCAATCTGACAGGAAACTACCTCCGTCGGCATCTCTACAATGGAGCCATCATGCTCGATACATCCACTGTCGCTACGTGTACTCTTGATAACACAACTATACTCACGTACAACACCGGCTACACTCTTGAGGGGATCTCCATCCTGGCCAATCAGAGCTTCGGAGGAGATAATGGAAGCGAGCTTCAGATGTACAGTGACTGGTGCGTGAAGATCTACCGATCACTTTACCAGTATTGACTATGATGCGGCACCAGGCTCAACGACATGGTACCGTCGGCGATCAACTTTGCTGGATGGACAGGTAGCGACGGTGTGATATTGGAAGGCACGTATCCGTTCATCACCGTGGATCTAGACAGCCAATCTCATAACTCATACAGAGAACGCCGACCCTGACAACTGGCAGAGTGGGCTCAAAGGTGAGTTTGTTGTCGATGTGGTAGGGCCTAGCTGAAACTCCGCATACAGCCGTTTTGGTGCGAGGGTTGCTTGAAGCGCGTTCACGCAACGCAAATGCCACGTGGGCACCGCTCGTCGACGACTTCATCACTGTACAGGTGCGAGGGGATCCTGTATTTTACAAGAGATGGTGAATGCTGATGCGCATATGCCTCAGTTCAATGCGCTGCTCGCCTCAGTTGAAGCGGGTAGCAATGACACGTATCCAACAGACTGGCGCATGGTCTCGAACAGCACCCTTGACTACCCAGGGAGTATCGCTGCTTTGGATGTCCTCAATGCGGCGATTGCCACTAGGTACGTGTTCTATACTATTACGTCTGCTCAATAGCTTATGTGGGGTCACGATCCGGCAGATCATCCAACTCGTCGGACTCGTCGTTCCATTGGCATGGCGAATCGCGCGACGATTCACATGACGGGCGACACAAAGGCAACACCACCACCATCGTGGTCGTCGCAGTCGTTGTGGGAGGAGTAGTGGTTCTGGCGCTCATTGCCGCAGCGATCGTTCTTGTCCGTCGTCGCAACAAACATGCCGCGACGTTCCGCGAGATGCAGGAGATTGACGCCGAACAACCCTCTCCCACTCCGATTGATCCATTCGTGCTTGACAAGGAATCGACATCACAATCCGTCTCCTTATACAACGAGAAAGGCGGCTACGCCAATCTCGGTTACGGAGCGGCAGATGCGACTACCCAATGGTACCAGGCGTCTATTGGGCCGACAGCGCCGCCCTCTTCGATCGCAGGCACATCGACTAGTGAAGGATCTTATGCATCCTCTCATGTGCTAGGGATAGCCACCGTACTGCAACGCGGCACGCCGGTGTTTCTAGCGACATCTCATCTTGAGCAAGATGCTCATGAGGGCGCATCGCCACCACGATACCAAGACGCGGCCACCTAAGCAAGACGATCACTCGTTCGGTCACCGTCGCAGGTTGGCGCACGCTGAGATGCGGTTTATATCGCTCACCTCCTGATCTATCTATCCTTTCCGAACCTCCCGGTCTCTTCTCTTCGTCGAATATGTGCACAGTTATGTATGGTTCCGAGGGTATTTATTGCTAGCAGTGGTCGCACTTTTTGCTCGCCACAAGTCCCATCTACAAGTGAAGTAAGCTATAGTTAACTGTACGGACTTTGATCTCCCTAGCTATTCCAGACTTTCAATGTACTTAGCGTCTTCATATTCACGTTCTGCATACCCCCTTTGTCTCCCGACGCCGTTATTGGCTGCGCGTAGCTCGCGTAATAGCTCAGACGCAGCCTTTCCAGTGCGGCGTAATCTCTTTGTAATCCGGCAACGAATCACCTACTGCAAAGGTGCATGTTGAACGTTCGGGCGTCGGGCAAGCTCCGGGAAGCGAGCCGACGAGCCCAGACGCGTGACGTCACGCGAGAGCATTCATAAGATACCTGCCATGCAAACCCTACCACCGTGACGCGGTCGTGACACCGCGCACAGGTGACGTGAGAGCTTACGTGCGCGCCATCCTCCCTCGCTCCCTCCACCCGTATCCGCGCCGTGCTCTGTGCCCTGGGACGCACACTGAGTGCATGAGCAACTGATAGCTTTTCCGAGCGAAAACGGTCCAGGGGAAGAGCAGGGAGCGCGACTGTGACGGCCCATCAGCGCAGCCGTCACAGTGGTAGGGTTTGCATGGCACGTATCTTATCTTCAGCCCTCTCGCTGCCTCGCGACTGTCGCTCCAATTCTGGGCAGCTGTGCCCGCAGGCCAAACCGCAAGACTGACTCAGGGTGGAGTAACGAGACTCGTGATATAAAAGAAGGACAAGCCCGGCGAAGCGGGCGGTACGTAGACATGTGGAGAGAAAGCGGTCCCGAGAACGAAGTAGATACACCGCTTAGAAGATACCAGCGCTCTGGCTGCCACCGTTGAAGGGAGTGCAGCCAATGGAGACGGCACCGGACTGAGAGTCAGTGTCAGTGAAGTGCGTGAGAGATAGAAGAGACCGAAGACGTACAGCGTGGGTGCTGTCGCAACACACAGACTGCTGGTTGCACTGAGCAGCGCCGGTGGTGTCGGCGACGAGCGGCGAGCAGGTCAGACCGACCGGTGCGTTCGAGCCACGGAGGAGGTTTGAGAGGACCTCTACCTCCGAACCACCGTAGAGCGAAGACCAGTCGACGTCCTTAGCCTGGAAATGATTCAGTACAGAGAAGGTGAAGATCAAGTAGAAGGTACTTACAGACTGAACCTGGTTGCAGCACTGGAGCGTACCCGAGCTGCAGGTGCCAGCGGGCTCGTAGGCCTCCTCGGTCTTGTAGGAGTCCTTGGGCGCGTACTCGTCGTAGCTGGGCTCGGCCTCGTACTCGTTGTAGCTGGGCTCCTCGGGCGCGTAGCTGTCGTAGCTAGGCTCCTCGTAGCTGTTGTCGTAGCTAGGCTCTTCGTAGCTGTTGTCGTAGCTGGGCTCCTCGTAGCTGTTGTCGTAGCTGGGTTCCTCGTACGAGTCGTAGCTGGGCTCCTCGTAGCTAGGCTCGTAGCTGGGCTCCTCAGGCGCGTACTCGGGCTCGTACTCGGGCTCGTACGCCGGAGTCTACAAGCGCATCAGCAACAATGAGCAGATAATAGTAAACTGAGAACTAACCTCGTAGGAGTCGTAGGCCGTGGTCGTAGCGTACGCCTTGGGCTAGGAGATGGGGAATCAACGATAGCCTGGCGATGACGATAGATGAAGTATATACCTCGTCGTAAGCGACCTTGACGCCGTACGCCGGCGTCTCAGGGGTGTAGGCAGGCTCGTAGGCGCTGGTGGTGTAGGCCGGCTCGTACGCGGGCTCGTACGCCGAAGACTCCGGCTAGAAGAATAGCGTCAGAGACGGGAGGGGTCTAGCTAGAGGGCACCTTACCTCGTAGCCGTAGGTCTCTTCGGGCTCGTAAGCCGACGTGGTCTTGTACTGCAAAGCGCATGAGATCATGAGAGGGGCGAGAACGACCAGGAAGTCAGACGTACGCCGTAGTCGCGTTTGTTGTAGCCGTAAGCCGCCTTGGAGGTGTACGCGGGCTGGTACTCGGAGGTGGTGTACTCCGGCTTGTACTCCTGCAAGTAGCTCGCGTCAGCATCTATCAAGCGTCATACAAGGTAGGAACGTGACAAACCTTGGAAGAAGTGTAGGCAGGCTTGTACTCGCTCGAGGGGGTGTACTCGGGCATGTACGCCGAGCTGGTCGTGTACTTGGGCTCGTACGCCGACGAGGTGGTGTAGGCCGGCTTGTAGGCGCTGGTGGTGTAGGCCGGCTCGTAGGCGGCGGTCGTGTACGAGACCTCGTTGTCGCCGTAGTAGGCGGGGACGGCCGCGACGTTGACGGCGAGAAGGACGAGACCAAGGAGAGCAGAGCGAGCGAACATAGTGATGAAGGAGTGTGGGGGTACGAGGACCGGGAAGGCTAGGAAATGTGTAAATACGACGGAGGGTTACCGCTTGGAGAACTCTGAATATTTTCAGGCGGCGATTTTATACCTGCGCCGCCAGCGCTTCGGGTGGCAAACAGTATACATTACGCTTGCAAGACTAAGAAACGAGGCGCTGTCTCATGAAGGCGCCAGGTCGCGAGCGTCCACTCGGTCGCGTCGAAGTTGCAAGTCGCGCCACCTGCGGCGACCAACCGCAGCAACATCACCCGGCGCGGCCGGCGCGAGCTGCCGCGAGGCTCTCAACGAGCGTTGGCGGTGCTCTGCTCTCGCCATCACGTCGTCGGTCTCGCTTGGATGCTAGGATGTCATTCGCCCTATTTGCGAGATGAAACGTATGCAAAGAATGCATGCCGTGGAAGGTCGTGGCGCGCTTCGACTGTCAACGACTTGCATGCTCCGCCAGTTCGAGCCTTCTGCGGCGTAGCATCGAGGGCTCTGATTCGGCTCTGGTAGCCGCCACGCTCTAAGTACTAGACCAAGGTCTGCCAGTATCAATGCACCCCTCAATTCACACCGCGGGCACATCTTACACCGTGCTCGCCTCTGCCTACAGCATCAAGCGTCCTCAGGTTACAGAACAATCAGGCGGGCATGGCGGAGCCGTCTATCGTCCGTGGTTGGATGCCTGCCGATTCCCGCCTTTGTTTCATCATACGCTCGCGGGTCGAGTGGCAGTCGAGGGTGGCAGCTGTCAACACTGCTGCTGGCGTCCGGGGCCTGCAACTCGCCCGCGATCCGCGCCATGCGATTGGCGAAGTGGCGGTATAAAGACTGCAGGCGGAAATATTCCAAAGACCCAACGATCCGTCGTCCATCACATCTCTACTCTTCTCTTTTACGCCCTTCGGCTCATCTCTCATTTTACTCGCCATGTTCTCCCGCATCGCCGTCGTTGTTGCCATCGCCGCCACCGTCATGGCCCGCCCGCAGATCGTATGTCCCGCTCCCCTCGCTTTCCATTTTTCTCAGCGCTGATGGTATCCGACAGGCTGGCCCCGTCAGCTCCTGCAACACGGGTGACCTCCAGTGCTGTAACCAGGTCCAGTCGGTACGTCTAGCTCCGCCCTTCGTTCCCTTCTTCTTTGACGCTGACGCTCGCCTTACAGTCCAAGACTGTCGACTTCCAGAAGGTTGCCGGCTCGTCCATCGAGTCGCTCTTCCCCGACTTCGAGGCGAACACCAACACCCCCGTCGGCCTCACGTGCTCGCCGATCATCCAGGACCTCTCTGGTGGCGCGCAGTGCAACCAGCAGTCTGTGTGCTGCAACGGCGGCCACTTCGTAAGTCTCTTCCCTTGCGTCGTTCTCATGCCGTCGCTGATCTTGACTCGCAGTCCGGCCTGTTCTCGCTCAACTGCATTCCGTTCAACGGAGGCAGCCAGAGCACCGGTATCTTCTAAGCGTGCGGCGTTGTAGCCTATTGTATCTTGGGGAGGTCTGTCTGTTGGGTAGTCACTGTTTGCCGTTTTGGCAACAGTCCAGTCATTCGTTTTACCATATTTTCTACGTGTGAATGAGTGAACGCTAGCATCTGAGCGGCAGTTTGAGCCTGAGCTTCTATCAAGCGCCGATGACGATCTATATCACTGGCGCATGCGATCGTGAAGGCGCATGATGATTCGGACTCTCAACATGCCACCACCACAATTCATCTCTATATCTAGCGATGCGTCTGGATGACTAGATACCCAGTACTACGTTACCGCTTCAAAGTCCTGTGTATGCCGCATTGAGCGTAATCAACGGCGTCACCAAGGCGTCGACCGCAGACTACGGTAACGATGGTGCGAGGTACAAACACTTCGCCCGCTGTGCGTCGAGTTGAACGCGCTTGCGGCCGAATGCATTCATGACGGTGTCATGGTCGGTCTACGCGAACTTCGCATACATACATACTTGGCGTCCACCGCGGGCATCGGACGCTCTGGGCCCATCGGTGGATGCAGCTATGCGTTTCGCCGGTGGATGCTTGCGAGGCCTCTTCCTCGAGGTCATCTGCGCCCGCGCCAAGGTTCTATTGATCTTCTCTGTCAAGGTATCTTCTGACCGGCAAGGCGTAGTTTCCCAGCGTCTCCTCTCGCCGCTCATGAGGCGCAACTTGGCAAGGCTTCCGCTTCAGCGCCTGGTTGAACAAGCAGTTGAAACGTTGTAGATTGAGGATGCTAGCGATGCTTGCCCGCGACGCGCAACCGTTCGGTTTGAAGTTGAACGAGCCTGGACACTTTCGAAGGTGGCGGGCAGATGTATAAAGTCCTGGACGTTGCAGTGGCCGTCCTTCAAGCGATCCGTCGTTTTCATCACATTTCTACCTCCCCCGTAGACTTCACGATGTTCGCCCAGCTCGCTGTCGTCCTTGCCATCGTCGCGTCGGTCTCCGCGCGCCCTGTATGTCTTTGCGCCACTCTGTCTCTTCCTAACCCTGACCACTCCCGCAGGCAGCAACGAGCACTTGCAACTCTGGCAACGTCCAGTGCTGCAACCAGGTCCAGTCGGTAAGCCCTCTTCTCGCCGTTTGCCTCCAATTGCCCACCGCTGACACGTCTGTGTAGGCCAAGTCCGTTGACTTCCAGAAAGTCCTCGGCAGCGACCTCTACGAGCTCCTCCCCGGCTTCCTCGAGGGCTCAAACACCCCCGTCGGTCTTACATGCTCGTCGCTCGTCTCCGACCTTTCCGGTGGTCCTCAGTGCAACCAGCAGACTGTGTGCTGCGACGACAGCCACTTCGTACGTCGACTCCGTTCAGCACATTTCGGTAGCACTTTACTGACAGCTCTCCCAGTCGGGCCTGATCTCAATCAACTGCATCTCGTTCAACGGCGGCTCTTCCGCTCTCGGCCTGATCCCGCTCTAAGCGGCGGTCAGCCAATATAGACTTGTGTGGGCGTGTGTGGGATGGTGTGGGTGTGAGGCGTTGAGTTGTTCTTGGGGGTCGTGAAACACATTCGTATACTTCGCTTTGGCGAATCGTCACTCTTTGTAATGTCCATGGCGGTATCTCATCACGATGTCGTTTTCTCTCGATATTCCCGCTACGCTAGTAGTGGGTCTTGGTGGCACGAACTCAACATCTGAAATGGCTGGCGTTTTGGAGCCCCTGTAAATTGTGCCTGATGCCGTAAGGCCGTCGGAAGCTCCGGCGGCTTCTTAGGTTAGGGTTACAATGAAGCGAAGTTGGGACTCAGTCTTGTTTGCGACCAACTACTACATATGCTCGGGCTATCTACGGGTACAAGTGCGCTGTCTCAGCAGTCTCGCCGAGCGACTGTTCGTCCGAGGGCTGCCAATCCGCGAACGACCTTGACAGGGTGAGCACGATTGATAGCTAGTACAGCTGTCTGATTGTACGGTCGAGTAACAGCTTACGAGCTTGCTCTCTATGGCAGAAAGAGTGCATTACTTGTATGGGTGCTATGGTGCATGATGAGTCGGCGGGCTGTGGAGGGAGTAGGCTTGGGGGAGAGAGGGCAAGGGGTGGGGGGTCAGAGCTAAGAAGGAAGGCGATCAACTCAAACGAAGAGATTAGGAAGGATCAGACGAAGAGAGCATTCACTAACACGCTCTCTGCAAGCCGCAAAGCACTGCTGCGGGAGCCTGGCCCTTGCTGGATGCTGGCGCCGAGCCGTGGACTCGACCTGCAACCAAAATTCAGCATACTGACCTGACACGTTCGATGGCACCACAAACGAGTCATTTGCGCTTGTTTCGATGGTATGCGATGACCCTTCGGGCTCGCGTTGAGGTCTCGGCTGCGATCTCGAGTCGCAATTGGGGATGCCTCGTTGGTTGTGGTACCAGGGTATGAAATGAAGTACGAAAATTGTGGGGATCCGCCGCACAATGAGTGCTATCGACTCCGGAAGTCGACCTGCGATCGCGCGCGAAGGAGCAGCTCGCTGCCCCAACACAAGACAATCCGCGAATTAAGTCGGCGACGTGCCAGCTTGTCTGAAAGGATGCGAGGGCTTCGCGGGGTCTTGATCGTCGGGATCCTTGCTCGTGTACTCAGTTGAAAGAAAGAAATATATTGGTGGTGATGGTGGCGGTCGGGGCCCAAAGTTGGAAAGCACATATTTCCGCGACGCGCGAGGAGATGCCGCGTCGTCGGGAGCCTTTGATGAGCCTGCCAAAGCGCCGCTAAGTACAGTAGTACAATGTCCGCGTGTAACCCGAATCATCAAGGCCTCAAGTCCTCCAGCCGAAGGCTCGATGGCGTACGCAGCAGGGAGAGCTAGATGCCCGTCGTCGACCGGGCTGTCGATCTAGAATAAGTTGAATAACTCAGAAAGACATCCCCATCGCGAGATGTGAGGATTCTGACTGCGGAAGTACGCCGTTCATCCATCACGCGTCGCAGGTACTGCTTCGAGCTTGCAAACCGTAGCGGGTCTTGCCGCGTGCGGCCCTATGGCAGTTATTTTACTGTGTGATCGTCGTGGTCGTGAGCAAAGTTCGGAGCCACAGCAAACGGCGCGGCACCGAACGTCTTGCTTCCGCGGCTCATCATCCTGTTTGATCTCTCCCTCCGCCTGCTCTCGAAATTTGCCACAGTGGCGTTGCGGTCGGACAAGTCTGTGAAAGCCGCGCAGCACGCTACGAAATCAAACACCGCGCCTATCCCAAAGTTCGCGTTCTACACGTCGAAAGTACACCTACCCGCCATCCGCCTGTCCGGCGCCCTTCAGTTCCGACAGGCGTTTCGTAGCCTACTGCTAGCAGCTATGGCTCCTGAAGAGGCTCAACCATGGAAGCCGCTACCGAGAGCTGGACTGAGGAAGATTCAGCCGTACTGGTTCGCGTATACTACTATGGCTAAGGAACGATGGCTTGGACGCGAGATTCTGGAGGTCGTGTCAACGGAGTTCAGGGATCGGTCGGTAGAGTACTACGTGCGTCTCACTCGCACCCTCTTCCTGCATAGTACTGATTCTGAATTTGGGTGTAGCGCCATGCGCTGGAAAGCGGCGTTACCAGTATCAACGGCAAGGTAGCAGGACCGGACACGATTATTCACAATGGCGATCGCCTTGAGTGAGCGTCGCTTTTATCGAACCTACACGCTTGCATACTGATATGCCTGTTCAGGAATATTGTGCACCGACACGAGCCGCCAGTTACATCGACTCCTGTCAGGGTCCTGCTTGTAGACAAAGAGCGCGAATTCCTGGTCATCGACAAGCCGGGGAGCATCGTCCGTGTGTCTCATGCTTGCTTGCGCGATCGCTAGAGCTTACGGAGACGATAGCCCGTACATGCGACTGGCCGGTTCTACTACCTCTCGCTCGTTGAGATCTTGCAACGCGACTTCGGGTTCCCGAAGGTTTACAGTGCGTCTTCCACATTCCATGCATGAGAGTGACAGGTCGCTGATGGTGACGTGCAGCGGTCAATAGGCTTGATAGGCTCACGTCGGGGCTGATGATCCTCGGCTTGTCATCTAAGCGCGCGGCAGCGCTATGTGACGAGTTCTTCAAGGGCAGCGTCAAGAAGGAGTATATCGCGCGCTGTGCAGGAGAGTTCCCGGAGTAAGTGTGCGCGACGCCCATACTCTGAGCATCCATCTCAATGCTATATCGCCATGTCACAGGGGAGAAACACTTGTCGATAAGCCATTGCTCACAGTCGATCGCCAGATGGGACTAAACATCGTGCATCCCGACGGCAAGCCTGCACAGACGCTCTTCAAGCGCTTGCACTACGATTCGACAACGGACACGAGCGTGTTGCATTGTCGCCCACTCACTGGCCGATGTACGTTCCCGCTTCTGTCTATGAGCCTGTGGCTATGCTGATCTTCCTCCAAGCGCACCAGATCCGCGTTCACTTGCAGTATCTCGGTCACCCCATCGCGAATGACCCCGTATATTCTGAAGAGAAGATATGGGTAAGTCGGTCCCTTGACAATCTGTCGTACACTCGATATTGACATAAGTATGCATACAGGGCGAGAAGCTCGGCAAAGGAGGCATCGATACGACACCGACGGACGAGCGCGCGGCACCTGCACCACCGCCTGAACTCATGGACGGACGCGAGCTGGCGCAGGAGGCCGGTCCGAGCACGAGCAAAGATCCTGGTGCCTCAGCGCCTGTTGTCCCCGATGCCGACGGAAGCGTTGAGATCCACGGTGCGGTGGCTCAGAAGCTTCTCCCACGCGAAACGGGGCACGACATCGGCATGGGCTCGCCCGTCCCACTGTCCGCGGAGGCTGTCGGTGTAATTACACGGTTGCGCAACCAGAAGGATCAGGACGAGGACTGGTCGCGCTGGCGGGACGTCGTATTCAAAAATAAGGGCAAGCTCGTGCCGAAGGGCATCAAGCATAGCGCGCTGCCGCCCAGCAACAAGCGAAGACGCGGCGGCGCCTCTGCGGATCTTCCCGGGCCGGTCGACGTCGTCGCGCCTCCAGAACCCGAGACGGACGCGGTTCAACCAGCACAACTCAGCTCAGAAGAAGCACTCGAGCTGCTCAAATCAATGCCCGCATCTGCTGAAGCCGAAGAAGCCTCGCGCACCGCAGCACCGGCGAACGCGGACACCGAAGAAGGGCGTGCGAAACAAGAAGCAGCCCAGAAGG